CACCACCACCGAGAGAGAGAGAGAGAGAGAGCGAGAGGGAGAGAGAGAGAGAGAGAGATTTGTATTTATATATATATATAGAGAGAGAGAGAGAGAGAGAGAGAGAGAGAGAGAGAGAGAGAGAGAGAGAAAATGAGTGGAGGGGGACCCTCAGCACATGTAGCCAGAGGGTGAGCCTTGACAGGATACAAGCATCAGTGCACCAAATCCCTTGGTTTGCGGAACGATCGCAAGGACAACATTTCTGCTTGCCCTCCAACGTGGGCTGCGAAAGCGGGCTCCTCGACGAGTTGGGCGGGCAAACGGAAAAAAAAAAAACATACATAAAGACGTTTGAGGATTCTATGCCTATGGGCCCATGCCGGGCCCCAGCACCGTCAAACCATGACTCAGGAAGGAGAGCGCGGGTAGTGGAGAAAGGGTCGAGAAGTCCCGGTGGTCCCCCGTTGTGAGCAAATCACGACGTCGGAGGGCTGCGATCAAGCTGGGGGAGCAGCACACCTGCTCACACGCGATGGCTCCGCGAACAGCTGCGATGGCGTGCTGGTGCGTGGCTCCTGCCACAAGCGCAGCTTGTGGTCGCCGCTTGCTCAGGGCCCCCCTCTCTCTCGCACCGCCCTCGGTGCGGCCACGGGCAGGCCGACGCCTGGCCGCGAGCGCACAGCGCAACACCCGCGGGGGCGCGGCAGCCTCACGCCGCCAGCCCGCGCACTCTCTCTCTCTCTCTCTCTCGCGCGCTCAGCTTGAGGCTCGGGGGTGGCATCGGGCTGGAGCGGAGTCCGTCCCCCCCCCCCGCGCCGGGGAAGCGGACCTCGGCCTCGGCCCGTGCCCCCTGCGCCACCTCCCGCTGCGACGCCGCCGACGACGCCGACGCCGACCGCGGGGCCGCCGAGGCCGATGCAACCGCCGCCGACGACGAAGACGACGCCGCCGCCGCCGCCGACGACGACGACGACGACGGCGTCGACGACGACGGCATCGACGACGACGGCATCGACTTCCAGCTGCGACGAGGCCGACGCGCCGCCGAGGCCGACGCAGACGCCGCCGACGCCGCCGACGACGCCGACGACGGCCGCGGCGCCGCCGAGGCCCCCGAGGACGCAGGGGGGGCCGCCGGTGAGGCGCGAGGGGCGCGGGCGGCGGCGGCGGAGAGGGCAGAGGGCGGCAGCGGGCGGCAGCGGCGAGCGGCGGCGGAAGCGAAAGCGTGATGGCCGATACAGTCGGCCCGCATCAGGAGGAGGAGGAGGAGGAGGAGGAGGAGGAGGGGGAGGAGGGGGAGGAGGAGGAGGAGGAGGAGGAGGAGGAGGAGGAGGAGGAGGAGGAGGAGGAGGAGGGGGAGGAGGAGGAGGAGGAGGAGGAGGAGGAGGGAGGAGGGAGGATGCGCGGTAAGGTTGTGGATGGCATGACAATGGACACTCTAACAATCCAACCATTGAATTAAATCTGTGTGTAGAACATGTAATACATTATCTAACAATGTTTCGAACATGCTTTTACATGGTTAAAACATGCTTGAAACATGTTTTATACATCTGGAAATTATTTCGCGGCATGCTTCCTCTCCATTGATCGTCCTCCACAGCGGTATGCAAGGGCCGTGGACGCCCACTTCGAAGCTCTTCGAGCGGGGCGCGGCCAACGGAAGTGGCCAAGGAGGCAATGATGCAAGGGTACCCTTGGGAAGGTCGCCGATCCTGACTATGCGGGCTGATTGTAAGGAACCCTTGGATCAAGTCGGGCTGCCGAGACCAGGAGCGATCCATCAGGTTTTCCAGCCGAGCCGTGTGGTCCGAAGGAAGGGCCGTAAAATCCGAAGGATCACCGAAGGCGCTCGCCGCCAAAAAAGCCTCGGAACGCATGCACACCTACGGAACCACCGAGCCCTTCCGACCTCGAACTGGACCTTAGCTCAACGAGCTGACTGTGAGGAGCCCAGGGTCTGGAAGCCAGTGGAACCCCGAATAGAGGCTTGGCCACGGAGATCAATTCAGGCCTCATCAGGTAAGAAATCCTCCAAGGTCTGAGAGATCCTGGGCACATTCCTGAACCAACGCGACTCGCACCGGAGTAGGAGGAGGAGGCGGAGGAGGAGAAGGAGGAGGAGGGTGAGGAGGAGGGTGAGAAGGAGGAGGAAGAGGAGGTTTTGACCTGACAGAGCTCAGCCGCAAGCGTACTGACCAGTGGTGGGGAGGAGGAGGAGGAGGAGGAGGAGGAGGAGGAGGAGGAGGTGCAGGAGGAAAACTTGTGTAAACCCAAGAGTCATCAATGATGTTGGAATAAACTCTCCCTCCAAACTCCCTCTTCATAGGCCCCCACAACGGGTCATCGGACGACAACCGTTTGAAAACCCTGAAGCATGACAAATCATTTTTCTCGGGATTCCATCATCACGGATCAACCGACTGTTCCGTCTTGACGAGCCTGAATTGTGCAGGAACGCAATTCCTGGGACTTCAAAACCGCGAATCAATGTAACTGCTGCACCCTCACAACCCTGAATCCTTCCAAAACACAATTTCTGGTAAGCTGATCATGGGAACCCGTGAACCTCTTACACTAAAAAACGAATGTACACGTCGCGAAAGCGAGAACCACATGTTGAAAAGGAACCGCCTTAAATCCGAGAAGCTCTTCGAATAAAGCGAATGTGCGCGGCGCTACGGTGAGAACAACATTTTGAGAACGACCCGCCCTCAATCCGTGAAGCTCTTGCGAATGTTAAAACGAATGTGCGTGGCGCTAAGGCGAGAGCCACACTTTGAAAACCACCCGCCCTCGATCTGCAAAACTCTTGCAAGTTTCAAAGGAATGGGCGCGGCGCTAAGGCGAGAGCCATACTTGAAAAACGGCCCGCCCTCCATCTGTGAAGCTGCTGCCACTTGTTCAAACTCCAGGGTCATATGAGGTGGGGAAGTCTCAGGCGAAGCGCCTGGCCCGCCCTAAAAACTGGCCTCGGGGTGCGACAGGGGGAAGTTACTTAGAAGGAAAAGGAATGGAGGCGGAGGAGAAGGAGGAGGAGGAGGAGGAGGGGAAGGAGGAGGAGGAGGAGGAGGAGGAGGAGGAGGAGGAGGAGGGTGAGGTTTTGACCTGACAAAGCTCAGCCGCAAGCGTACTGACCAGTGGTTGGGAGGAGGAGGAGGAGGAGGAGGAGGAGGAGGAGGAGGAGGAGGAGGAGGAGGGGGGAAGAGGAGGAGGAGGAGGAGGAGGAGGAGGAGGAGGAGGAGGAGGAGGGAGGAGGAGGAGCCCAGCCGTGGCCACGAGGGCTCTCCGGGACGAGCAGCGGCATAGCTGCCCTCTGCTCCTCTGGAGCGCGGCGGCGAGCGGCGGCCGCCGGCGGCGGCGGCGACTCTCAGAACTCGGCTCTCCGGCGCCCGCTGAGGGCGATGCGAGCACTCCCGGGCACGGTCTCGGCGAGGCGCCACCGCTGGAGAGCACCCCGGGGCCTGGAGAGCCGCGGAGAGCCCGCGAGCACGCCCGAAGACGCCCGACGCCCTCGAAGCTCGGACCTCGCCCTTCGAGGCCAGGAAAGGCAAGGGTCGAACTTCGAAGCTCGAAGCTCGACCTCGAAGGCGGCGGCGGCCGATGGCGGCGGCCCGCGCTGGCCTCCACGGGGGCGGCGGCCGCTGTCGTCGGCCGCGGTGCGGGTGCGCTTGCGCTTGCGCCGTCCCCCGCACGCGCCCTCGGAATCCGGGGCGCTCGCGGTCGCGCCGGGCGGGGGCTCCTGGTGGCGGCGAGCTCGGGGGGAAGGAGGAGGAGGAGGAGGAGGAGGAATGAGGAGGAGGAGAGGAGGAGGAGGAGGAGGAGGAGGAGGAGGAGGAGGAGGAGGAGGGAGGAGGAGGAGGAGGAGGAGGAGGATGAGGAGGAGGAGGAGGAGGAGGAGGAGGAGGAGGAGGAGGAGGAGGAGGAGGAGGAGGAGGAGGAGGAGGGGAGGAGGAGGAGGAGGAGGAGGGGGAGGAGGAGGAGGAGGAGGAGGAGAGAGGAGGAGGAGGAGGAGGAGGAGGAGGAGGAGGAGGAGGAGGAGGAGGAGGGGAGGGAGGAGGAGGAGGTGGAGGAGGAGGAGGAGGAGGAGGAGGAGGAGGAGGAGGAGGAGGAGGAGGAGGAGGAGGAGGAGGAGGATGAGGAGGAGGAGGAGGAGGAGGAGGAGGAGGAGGAGGAGGAGGAGGAGGAGGAGGAGGAAGGAGGAGGAGGAGGAGGAGGAGGAGGAGGAGGAGGGGAGGAGGAGTGAGGAAGAGGAGGAGGAGGAGGAGGAGGAGGAGGAGGGGGAGGAGGAGGGGGGGGAGGAGGGGGAGGAGGAGGAGGAGGAGGAGGAGGAGGAGGAGGAAAGGAGGAGGAGAGGAGGAGGAGGAGGAGCAGGAGGAGGGGGAGGGGGGGGAGGATGCGCGGTAAGGATGCAGAGGCCTTGGACGCCCATCTCGAAGCTCTTCGAGCGGGGCGCGGCCAACGAGAGTGGCCAAGCATGGGCCGAGGAGGCAAGGATTAGGTCGGGCACGTCCCCCTACAGGGGGATTTGGGGCGATTGTTTTTACACCCTAACCATACCCCCCAAATGCTCAACAAAATCCCACCAGCCCTCTGGGCGTCGGTGGTTTAAGTAGTTTCCTCTTCCACCCCTCCTTCTTCTCCTTCGGGGAGGGGTTTACCCCTCCCCCTACCCCCTCCCCGCTGACCTGGACAAGGGGTTCCGCGGCGCGTTGGAGCGTCCAAAACGGCCTCGGCGAGGAAGCCAAAATCATTGATTTTACTATGGTTTGTGCCCCATGTTGGCCTTCTGAGGGGAGGGCTGAAATTTAGGAACCCCCCTTCTTTGATCGATTTCCTCCACGATGGCCGCAAGAGGCCCCCAGGATGCCCCAAGAGGCCGCAGGATGGCCCCAAGATGGCCCCAAGAGGCCCCCCAAGAGGCCCCCAGGAGGCCCCCAAGAGACCCCCAAGAGGCCCCAAGAGACCCCCCAGAGGCACCCAAGGTGCTCCCAGAGGCCCCAAGATGGCCCCAAGAGGCCCCAAGAGGCCCCCAGGAGGCCCCAAAGAGGATTCCGAACGGCCCACAGAGGCCCCCCCGAGGCACCCAAGACGCCGAAAAGCCCCTCAGGACGACCCTCTACTCGCCTGGGCGTCGTTTCTGGACGGGCTGGTGGGGATACGCGAAGCGTCTAGAAATTTTCGAGTGGACAAAAAATAAGGCCCAAATTTAGGATATGCGAAGGGGGTGCGTCCATCCTCGAGAGGGGTGCGTCTGAATAGCCCCCTTGGAGTGTACTCCAGAGTTCCCCGATTTTCCTGAGCGGCCGAATTCTAGGACGTAACACGGGAGCTGGGGCAGAACGTTCGCCTGCGAAGAAGGTCTGCGCAGGGCGCAGGCAGGGGCCTCCCAAACGAAGACAAAGCCAGAACGAGGACAACATCGGGTGAGGATAGGTCGAAGACTGGGACAGCGCCAGGACGAAGACGAAGCCAGGAAGAGGTGGCGCTGGATGGGGCTCGTTGCCGCTTGCCCCCACGGGGTAGCAGGGGATATGTCGACCCCTGTCCCAGGCATCGCGGGGGTTCCAAAACATTGGAGCCCAAGTTTGGGGATCTACGATGGAAGGGCGCCCCGCCTCGATAGAGGTGCGTCCGAAGCATCAGCACATTTGGGGTGCATCCCAGAGTTCCCCAACAATTCGGAGCAGCCAGAACTTTCCGGCGGAGCACGGGGGTTATTGGGGGAGAAAATTCGCTTGCGAGGGAGGCCTGCACAGGGCGTGGGTAAGGGGCTCCCAAACTGAGAAGAAGCCAAAACGAGGACAACATCGGGTGAGGATAGATCCATAATCTCTGAGATACCGCGGCCCTGAAGGATGTCTTGGGCGCCGCGGCATTCTCAGGGCGTTCGGGAACGGTCTGAGAGCATTCCGGAACGCTCTGGCACGGATTTATCCTCGTCCTGATCCCGTCCAGAAGGGGTTTAATTAGAGGGTGTCGGAGGATCGCGCCGATACATCGGCGATGCGACGGCGACGTCGGCAATGCATCGCCGATGTCGGTCCGCATCGATCCGCATCGCCGGTGCATCGGCGATATGGCGCGATCCTCTGACCCCATCTACGCTGACCCCATCTGGGAGGCCCAGAATATGGCGACGGCGGGAGAAAAACAACATCGGGTCGGGGTAAAGCGGAAATTGCCGACCCGTGGGTCAGGAGGCACCTCCTGGGAGGTCTCCACAGGAAAAATCAAGAACTTCTAAGCAATATCAAATGACCATCGGGCAGACTTCGTCTTGATTCTGCAAGATTACACGGGATTGCGCCAAGTGGAACACTTGAGGTGGCCGGAAGAGACCAATGATATCAGCGCCGATGATGGCTTCAAATTAGCTTTCCGGGAATAGGTGGTTTAACAGCTTGGTTCTTCCAACATCCTTCTTCCCCTTTCGGGTAGAAGTTTACGTCTCTTCCCACTCCCTCTCCCTGGGTCTGGAGAGCGCCGAGGGTCGTTGGAGCGCCCCAGATGGCTCAAGATGGCCCCAAGAGGGATCCGCGAGGGCCCAAGACAGCCCTGAAGATCGCACGACATATACCAAGACTGATCAAGATAGCTTCCATCATGCTTCTCAGTATCGCCATGACCGTCTCAGAACGGCTCCAAGTGGCCACAGAGACTCCCAAGAACCCCTCCCTCGACAGGACCCCTCCCCCTCGGTCTGGAATGGGAGGAGTCGCGATGCGTTGGGGCGTTCAAGATGGCTCAAAATGGCTCAGGATAGCTTCCAACATGCCTCCAATAGGCGCCATGGCAGTCCCAAGACGGCTTCAAGTGGCCACGGAGCCTCCCGAGGAGACCCCCCATGGAGGCCAAACACCTTTCAGCATGTTGCGCCTCCTCGCGCGTTCGCTTCTGATGGACTTTTGCGAAGGGGCCCACAAACACACATATAAATACACACAAATAACAAGAATTCCCATATTTTTCAATATTTTCCGTGTTTCTGTCTTCCCCGCCGCTTCCCATATTTTCCTATATTTTCATGGGAGTCGACGATTAATTGTGTATGTGTGTTTCTTTCCCTCTTGACTCTGAGGACACGAGATGCCTCCAAGATGGCCCACGAGAGCCTCGAGAAGAACCCGAGAGGAGCCCAGGACGGACCCGCGGGAGCGCCCAAGAGCGTCAACCGAAGGGCGAGGAGGCACTCGCTCTGCCTCCGTCCCCCCTCGCGCCACCCCCACTGCTGAAGGAGCCCCAGAGTAGACAGAAATGACAAAATGACAGGATTCCCCATATTTTTCAATATTTTCTAGGTTTTTGTCTTCCCCCCCCACTTCCCATAGTTTCCCATCTTTTCTGGGGAATCGACGATTCATTGTGTCTGTGTGTGTGTTCTGTCCCTCCTGAATTGCGCGCGCCGCCAGCATTTGGAGCATCGCGGATGCCTTTTGGGGCTCTCTTTGGCTGCTTTCGGCGCTTGCTCGTGTGTTCGGAGAGCGCCCCGGAGCGTTTGTAATATGGGACCCTGCAGGCGGGCAGCACGTCCATTAGAGGGGGGAGGACATTCACGGAGGAATGAGGGATCAGAACTGAGGCCATACTGAACGGGGGGGGGGCACTACAGCGCATGCAAAACAGACACACTATCTGGCAAAAAATCCTCGGTCACCGGTGATTTCTGGGAGCCGGTGCATGTAGAAGACGTCTCGGGCCCCACGACCGTTCCCGAACGCTCCGTAAAGCTGTGAGTGTGCTCTGGAACGCCCTGGATCGACTCATCAATCCCAATCGGCCTGCCCAAGGAACAGCATGGCGCAGCGAAGACTGCCCCCCCACACCCGGACAAGCCTGTTTGGGCTCTCCTGGAACCCGCTTGACTCTGTCTGGGCAGACTGCGGTAACCACCGCAGAATCTCCTCCTCGCAAGACCCCCTCCTGCTTCTCCTGCTCCTCCTCCAACCTCCTGCTCCCGCATGAGACTCAGACACGCAGCAGAACCACAACTGAGGCTGATGCTGTACGGCCTGTGCGCTCCCAGCCGCAGACCGCGTCTCCGCCAGGGTGTACACGAAGAAGAGGAGGCCAACATCGGCCGCTATAACTTGGAGTACCCTCCTCCTCCTCCTCCGCCTCCTCCTCCTCCTTCTCCTCCTCCTGTTCCTCCTGTTCCTCCCCCTCCTCCTCCCCCTCCTCCTCCAGTTCCTCCTCCTCCTCCTCCTCCTCCTCCGAGGAGGAGGAGGAGGAGGACGCCGCCGCGTCTGGGGGCCTGCAGGGCTGGAGAGGGAGCGAGGTCGTGGGGGGGGGCCAGGACTAGCTCCATCGCCCAGAGCTGCTCTGGCTTCCATGCGTCCATCGACCTGGAGGGGAAGGGGAGTGGGAGGAGCCCAGGACTCGCTTGTGGCACTTCCCTGCCCGTGGAAGCCCTGGCGGGGGCCCGCCCCTTACGGTGCGCCCCTTACGGTGTTTTCCGATGTGGCACGGCTTATGTGAAGTCGATCCCCTGGAAGGAGTCGGGACCTCGAGGGGGTCCTCGTTTGCAAACAGATCACGACGTCGGGGGCACGGGAAGGACCAGATGGAAGGGGGAGGATGGTGAGGAGGAGGAGGTCGTTGGAGGTTCCACTGTTGTTTGGGTGGTGCTGGAAGGTGCCAAGATGTTCTAGGATGTCCGAGGGGCTTCGAGGAGGGGGGGGGGCACAAGGATGAGGGCGAGCGGGCGCTAATGAACAGGAGCTCCGAGAGGCCTCAAAGGGCCGAAGGCCACTAGACCTTCTTGGCGACGGGAAGCGCGTGTATTTTGTGCGGGCGCGACGTGGCTGGCCTAGGGTCTTGGAGCCCTGTTGGTGTCAAGGCTTCGGTACTACATACAAGAATCTGGCAACCAACCTTGAAATAACAAGTGGCACGCGTGCCCTGGCTCTTGCACTAAGGAGCCGCGAGAGACAGGAGGCTTTCGCCTCCTTCCTCCAAGAGTTTACTTTTGTGGCCGCCGGGGGAGGACGAACGACGAACGAACGACGATATAAAGGGTCCAGGGCAAGGGGGACTGGGGCCAGGGCCGGGGGGGGGAGGCTGGGTCCAGGGCCAGGGCCAGCGGGGCGAGGGTGGCTGAGGTCTGGACGAGATGGGGAGGTTGGGTCCAGGGCCATGACCGGACCAGGGACCACGACGACCGAACACAAAGGGTCCAGGGACGACGACGAACGAACGAAAATAAAGAGGTCCGAGCTCTAGAGCACACCTGTGCCAGAGAATAAAGGGTTCCGCGGTCCAGGAGAGCTGCCCTGGGAAACCCTGGAGAGCTGCCCTAGGGAGCTCTTTGGGGGGGAGGCTGCTCCATGGGCGGGGTGGCCTGGGAAGCCCTGGGGGGCAGCCCTGGGGAGCTGCCCTGGGAAACCCGGGAGAGCTGCCCTGCGCTGCCCGGGGGGAAGGGGCGGGGGGGGGGCCTGGGGAGCCCTGGGGAGGGGAGGGGGGAGGGGGACGACCACGAACGAGCGAAAACCGCGGTCCAGGGCAGCTGCCCTGGGAAACCCTGGAGAGCTGCCCTGGGGAGCCCGGGGGGGGGGATGCTGCTCCAGGGGCGGGGGGCCCTGGGGAGCGCTGCCCTGGGGAGCCCTGGGGGGGAGGGGGGAGGGGGACGACCACGAACGAACGAGAATAAAGAGTTCCGCGGACCAGGGGGGCTGCCTAGCTGCCCTGCGGAAACACTTGGGGGGGCGGCTAGCTGCCCTGCGGAAACACTTGGGGGGGGCGGCGGGGGGGGGGGCGACGACCACGAACGAACGAACGAACGAAAATAAAGATGTCCGAGCTCTAGGGTGCGTCGCGAAACATAAAATCGTCGGGGCGGAGGGGGCACTGGGCGCGGCTGGGGAGGCCCCACTGGGGGGCGCTGGGGGCCACTGGGGGCGCTGGGGAGGTCCCACTGGGGGGGGAGGGGTGCGTCGCGAAAAATAAAATCGTCGGGGCGGAGGGGGCACTGGGCGCGGCTGGGGAGGCCCGACTGGGGGGCGCTGGGGACCACTGGGGGGCGCTGGGGAGGTCCCACTGGGGGGGGGGGGAGGGGTGCGTCGCGAAAAATAAAATCGTCGGGGCGGAGGGGGCACTGGGCGCGGCTGGGGAGGCCCCACTGGGGGGCGCTGGGGGCCACTGGGGGCGCTGCGGAGGTCCCACTCGGGGGGGGGAGGGGTGCGTCGCGAAAAATAAAATCGTCGGGGCGGAGGGGGTGGCGCGGTGGGAGGCCCACTGGGGGGGCTGGGGACCACTGGGGGGCTGGGGAGGTCCCACTGGAGGGGGGGGGTCCCACTTGGGGGGTGGGGAGGGGTGCGTCGCGAAAAATAAAATCGTCGGGGCGGAGGGGGCACTGGGCGCGGCTGGGGAGGCCCCACTGGGGGCGCTGGGGACCACTGGGGAGCGCTGGGGAGGTCCCACTGGGGGAGGAGGGGTGCGTCGCGAAAAATAAAATCATCGGGGCGGAGGGGGCACTGGGCGCGGCTGGGGAGGCCCGACTGGGGGGCGCTGGGGACCACTGGGGGGCGCTGGGGAGGTCTCACTGGGGGGGGAGGGGTGCGTCGCGAAAAATTAAATCGTCGGGGCGGAGGGGGCGCTGGGCGCGGCTGGGGAGGCCCCACTGGGGGGCGCTGGGGACCACTGGGGGGCGCTGGCTGGGCAGAGGTCCCACTGGGGGGCGCTGGGGGCCACTGGAGGGCGCTGGGGAGGTCACGCCGGGGGGCGCCGTGGGCAGAGGTCCCACTGGGGGGCGCCGGGGACCACTGGGGGGCGCTTGGGAGGTCCCACTGACTGGGGGGCGCTGTGGGCAGAGGTCCCACTGGGGGAGGGCTGCGTCGCGAAAAAAAAAAAAACGGTCGGAGCTCTAGACACCCTGTGCAAGAGAATTAAGTAATATTGCATTTCCGGGCCTTCCTGGGGGTCCTTTTGGGGCTCGTTTGGGCCGTCTTGGGGCCGTTTGGGGCCGTCCCGGGACCCTCTTGGGCCGTCTTGGCGGGCTTGGGCCGTCTTGGGGCCCTCTGGGAACACTCCGGGGACCTCCTGTGGCCCTCTTGGGGCTCTCTTGGGCTCCTGTGAGCCCTTTCGGCACCTCAGGGGCCTTTCAATGGCCTTTCTTAGGTCTCTCTCTGGCCGTCTTGACGCCCACTCGGGCCGTCTTGAGAGCCTCTGGAGCCGTTTTGAAGCGGCCCTGGGAGCCTCCAGGGCCGTTTTGGACGCTGCGATAACCAAAGAAGCGGCTATGCTAAAAATGTACGTTTCCCCTGGGGAATGGGGCGAGTTATGCCTCTCGGGGGTTCCCTTTTGGGGCTTCTTGGGGCGTCTTGGAAGCCTTTTGGGCTGTTTTGAAACCATATTGGGCCCTCTTGGACCGCTCTTGGGCCGTCTTCGGGCCCTCTGGAACCTTTTCCCAACGCCGTCTTGAAGGTGTCTTGGGCGTTTTTGGGGCTGTCCCGGGCCGTATTGGGAACTCTGAGACGCTCTTGGGGCTGATTTGGGTAGCTTTGGGCCCAAAGTTGCCGAAATTTGGGGCATTTGAAATTGTTTGGCATGGGGGCAGACATCTTCGTTTATTGTGCGAGGGCGCGAAGTCGCTCGTTTCGTGTTTTGGAGCCCTGTTGGCGTTAAGGCTTCGGTGCGACATTCAAGAACTTAGCAGCCGACCGTGCGGAAATAAATCAGTCAGGCGAGAAAAAACAATTCTTTTTTGAAATCAAAAGGCGCACGCACGCAGGACGGTCCAATGCACAAGAACACTGCGAAGGACTACAACATCTCCGAGTACTTCGCCACAGGCGGTAAAACCGCGGACAGATTCCCCCATTCACGCATAGACGCCCACAGATCGAATCGCAGTGGGGGACATGCGACGAACGTGACACGGAGCAGGGCGGAGGCACGGAGAGGAAGTCGCATTCGAGGAACGATTCGCGCGAGTAACCGCGCCGCGCGCTACATCGCGCGGGACATAACAGAACAGGTCAGCGCGACGGGCTGACTGATGCAACTGGTCGAGCGTCGAGCGGGCAAGTTGCCGCCGAGGAAAAAATGGGGGAGTGGCGACGGCCAGCACCATGCGCTACGCGGCGCCCCGGCGCCCCGCGCTTTGCGCTGTCGCAGCGCCCCGCGCTATATAACAGGACAACGCCGTCCGCTACGCGGGCGGTTGCCGCGCAATTTGAACCACTTGCAGACGTGCGCAACCGCGCGCGGTGTAATCTAGACTCCTTCGACAAGAAACGCACGCGACAGCTCGCGAACCCGCCCCCGCGCCTCGGGCCAAACTCGGGCGAACCTGCGCGCGAGCGCGAACCACCTGCGACGCGCGCGGGCCCGGGGCCGCGGAAGGAGGGGCGACTGCTGCGCGAGATTGAGCCGATCCGCAGCAGGCTCAGGTCTCAGCTGCGCGCAGGAACTCCTCGAAACCTAGCTGCGCCGCGAGGGCCCTGGCCGTCTTCTGGCAAGCTCCCGCGCGAATGGGAAACTTCTTCAGTTGCTTGCGTAGGCCCGCGGGCGGCCCGCGCAGGAGGAAACCGACGGGGGGCGCGCGCGACCAGAGGGGGTCCTCGCTGCGAGTCGCGCGCGAGCGGGGGACGTAGATGTCGCGCCACCGGTCGTCGTCGTCCTTCCTGCCGTTCCCGACCTCGCGGCGGCCGCAGTCCAGAATCACGCCTGGGCGGAAGCGGGCGAGAGACATGCGCGCCGAAATCCACGGGCCAAAACCGGCGCGCCAGAACCAGAAACCTGAATCCCAAATCGCTTCCAAACCGTTGGGGGCGCCGTGCTCTCGCCCACTCGCCTTCCCGCATGGTGCGCCCCTGGCGCGCCGTGGTTGCGATGGCCCCGCCATGCGAGAAAGGAAAACCCGCCCAGGCCACCCTGGAGCCGCGAAAAGGGAAGGGCTCCGAACTGCGGGGCTCGATGAACACTAGCGGGCCCGTCAAATCCCTCGCGAGGCTGTCGTCGTGGTGGCCCTCCAGGGTGTCCGAGACGGGCGCGCAGGTGCACTTCTCCATGCGCGCCCAAAACCCAGACGGCACGTGCTTGAGATGCACCCGCGTCTTCCCAGCTCGCACGGCTCTCTCGACCTCCTCCTGGTCCAAGGGGTTCACCACGATGTCCACGGCCTGGCACTCGGCATCCTTCAATCGGCCGCTGACCAGGTCGAGTGCCTCCAAAAGCCAGATCCGCATGCCCAGGTGCACGGGCACCATGCCGCGCATGCCACCGGTATTCGTCGGGTTGGCGCTGTTCATGAGCTTGGTTTCGTCCTTGTTGCTCATCGCCGTGGCAGACCTGTCCGCGGCCTGCACCACAAAGAGCAGGACCTGCAGGGCGGCCGCATCCTGCGTGGCACGCACGTGCATCCACCGCGCCACGGTATCCCAGCAAGACCCAATCGCGTGGCCGTTCTGGAACCTGTCCTCCCGGAGCTGACAATCCCTGGGTTTCAATTGCATGGCGCCCCACATGGCACAGATTGCCCGGGGGGTCCTATTGCCCAGATTGCGCATCATCCTTTATCGTTTTCCTCGACCTCGCTATGAACAGATGTTTGCAAGTCCGATGTGCCACCGCTGGGAATTTTGACCAATTGCGATACTGCCGCCCTTCAAACACAGGCTGAACTCCTCAGAATCGCGCGGCACAAGATCGACTGCAAATGATAGTGTGTTCAACGGGTCCGAAGGACCACGGCGACGCGAGTTGATGCCTCAACTATGTGGGTGTCTGGCATGAAACGGGGAATCCTGTTTGAACATGCAAAGACGCACCCACTGGGGCCCTCAGTGGAGCTCTAGTGGGGCCACGGAGCGTGTGACGATGTGCCGAAATGGGCGGGGCGACGCCATGCTAGCGCACCCACTGGGGCCCTCAGTGGAGCTCCCAGGGAGCCACGAAACGTGTAAGGGGTGTGTCGAAATAGGCGGGTCGGCGCCATGCGAACGCACCCACTGGGTCCCTCAGTGGAACTCCCTGGAAAAGCAAAATGTGTGAGGGTTGTGCCGAAATGGGCGGGTCGGCGCCATGCGAACGCACACACTGGGCCACGAAACGTGTGAGGGGTGCGCCGAAATGGACGGGGAGACGCCATGCGAGCGCACCCGCTGGGGCCCTCAGTGGAGCTCCTCAGGGGCTACAAAACGTGTGAGGGGTGCGCCAAACTGGGCGAGGCGCTGCCATGCGGACTCACCCACTGGGGCCCTCGGTGGAGCTCCCTGGGAGCCACGAAACGTGTGAAGGGTACACCGAAATTGGCGCGGCGCCGCCATGCGGACGCACCCACTGGGGCCCTCGGTGGAACTCCCTGGGAGGCAGGAAACGTATGTGGTTTGTAACGAAATGGGCCAGGGCAGGAAGAGAAGGAAGAGGAGGGGGAGCAGGGAAGGAGGGAGGAGGGAGAAGGAGGAGGACGACGAGGAGGAGGAGAGGAGAGGAGGAGGAGGAGGAGACGCGCGGCGCTGCGGATTCAAAGCGAGGACCCAACACACAGGAGGGTTGGAAATGTAGATTGCATTTCTGGGCCTTCCTGGGGGTCCTTTTGGGGCTCGCTGGGAACGTCTTGGAGCCCTTGGGGCTCTCCGTGGCCATCTTGACGCCCACTTGGGCCGTCTTGGGAGCCTCTGGGGCCGTCTTGGGGCGGTCTTGTTTTTGTCTGTGCTTCTTTCTTTCTCCGGAGCTCAACTCAGCACGCTGACGGCCGAATGCCACAGGACACCAAGTGCGCCAAAGCCTCGACAGCCTCGTCGAAAGCAGTGGCTCCAGCCTCAAAGGACAACATTGGGTTCTGTGCACATGTGCCACGGCCATGGCAATTGAAACCGCCTCTGCATCTCTGCCGCGGGCATCTTCTCTCGCTTGCTCTGAGCAGAAAGTGCCGGGGATGCAGCGGCCAGCACTGTACATGAGCTGTTACCTTGGGCTGCAGCTCGCTGGATACTGCTGCGTGAAAGGCGCTGCTACCCTGGGCCGCAGTGCCATACAATTAATAAATTAAATACCCCAGTATTACTTATCCCACACTTACTTATCCCCCGCCTCTGCATCCACGCGTTCAAGATACCGTGCCGCCGCCGAGCAACCGTAAGCCCGGGTGCCGCCGAAATTCTGAATTGCGGCGGCACCCGGCTTGAATTTCAAGCCGAAGGTCTTGCTTTCAAAAAAAACACCGGTCGCTGAGATGGCTTCCGGGCACACTCGGATCGGGGAGACGTAAGACCTGGGTACAGGGGACTCGGAAATCCCCGACGAGGTCGTCAAAAAAATGACGAGGCCGAGCCTGCATTTTGACGAGACCTCCCGCTGCAGACATCCCACGAAACTCCTCCTCGTCAAAATCCGAGGCGCGGTGGTCAAAAAACGATGGCGAACCCGAGTCCTGGCAAACCCGGGTCTTACGCTCCCCCGATCGGAGGGAGACGCGAGCGGGTGGACGGATGGAGGGACGATACGACCGCGAGACGGGCGGAGCCGGCTGGCGAGCCGCGGCTGCAAATGCAACCCGTTGATCGCGCGGCGGACAAAACGAAACATGGCGCCTCCGCGGCGGAAGCCGGCACATCTGGCAGATATTGCCGCGGCTTCCACCGGGCGTCTGCGCAAACTGCTGCAGCATGCCATGCAGAAGCGCCGGGGACAAAACAGGGCTACCAAAAAGGGGGGGTCCAAGGAGGGGGGCGTCCAGGAGGGGGGCGTCCAGGACGGGGGCGTCCAGGAGGGGGAAGCGCCGGGGATAAAACAGGGCTAGGATCGGGATAAATCGCTCCAGAGCGCTCCGGAGCGCTCTCAGAGCCTTCCGGAACGCTCTCAGAGCGGCCGCGGCGCCCAAGACACCCTCCAGACCCGCCGATCCTCAGAGATTTTCCGAGCTATGCCGATCCGACTTTGTCCCGATCTTCGCGTCGTTTTAGGGGACTCGACTTCCAGATCTATTGGGGCCCGCTCGGAGGTCCTCCACGGGGCGCCGTAGGGGCGCGCCTCGTCCGGCCTCGGGCTGCTGGCACTGGGGCTCCTGGCGGCAGGCGCCCAGGGGAGCCGGCACGTGCGCGGAAGGCGGCAGGCCGCTGCTGGCACGCTGCAATGGCGGCCGCCGCGCGCGCGCCGGTGGTCCAGGCGCTCCCGGCAGCAGTGCGCTGCCCGAGCTCGGCCACGGGTTGCTGAGGGCTGCGCGCGGCTTCACGTCGTCAAACTCCCCCCTCCCCACGCCTCAGCCACCCCACCCCCCCGCCCGCCCACTTGCTCGCTCCACCCGCCAGGCAAGAGGAAGGAGTTCGGCGACCGACGAAGGCGAACAGTCCAAACATTCCGGAACACCTCCCTAAGAAGGGACTCGTGCCATGGGAAAGGCGGGCGACTCCACGGGTTCGGCCCGCTTGCTGGAAAAAGGTGATGCGCATGGCGTGTGCAGCATGCCTCCCTGGCAAGACCATGGCTCGTGCACGAACTCGGCATCCATGGGGAGCGGCCAGCCAGGAGGGGGGGGGCCGTCCGAGGCGGCGCCCCCCGGGGCGTGCCAGCTGAAGACAGGGACGTTGACACGGTCTTACGGCAGACACGCTCCAAGTGTGCGTGTGAGCTGTGAGCTCAAGGGCAGAGTGCGGTTCGCTCGACACATCTGCCGATTCTGGGCAAGCTCGCTCCCACAAATGAGGCTGCGGACAGCTAGCCCCCAAAATCGCTTCAAGGCGGTGGGAACGCATGGGAACGGGACACTTTGAGGAGAAAGGAGAGGAGACTGCGCCAAGGCAATACCACCGTCTTCACTGTTCGTTGGCCGACGGTCCTGCGGCAGCAAGCGGCCAGAGCGATTCGAGCGGACGGTGAGAAACGGCCGAAGGCCTACGCAACGAAACGGAGGGTGCGCTCGGACTTCGCCGTCCTGCGATGCGGATGGAGACGCCTTCCAGGCGTCTTTTGGCAACTGCCCTAGGGCATGCTTCTGTAATCTGCCTCACGGATCGAACTTGTTTTATTTCCTCTCCAGACTTCATGATACAATGTATCACCTGCATTCTCGCAATTTGGCGTCAGGGCACTCTAAACGAGGCTACAAACGCCACTACGCGCACTGAAAACCAGGCGCACCACCGTGCCAGGCTTGTGTGCAACACCCGCGTTTGGAATCGGCTTAATCGATCTCCATGCCGTTGAACGTGGCGCTGAAGCCCTTGTACACTGGCTTGATCAGTGTCAGGGGCAACCCGGGACGTGGAGGCGGTAGATGCGAGCAACACGGTGGTTGTGGAATATCTGCTGCACCTTTGACCTCGTCTTTGAGCTCCCCACTGGGCTCGTGCAGGTGACAAAAGTTACAGTTTGCACCAAACCTGCACGTGCCCCTTCTGAAGACAAAGTTGCAGTACCGAGGGCAAGCCCCCTTGAGGCAACGGCCCTCGGGGCGGCAGGCTGAGCAACGCTCACGAGTCTTAAAAAACTGCTCGTCGACCATTCGCGTGCGTGTCCGTGGGAGCAGCCATTTCGTGGCCTCCAGTCGCTGATACCAGGTCGGTCGACACGTCAATGTTGTGCACTGCCAGTGCCCGCAGGCATGAAGCACGCCTACTGAATCACAAGTCGGACAAATGATGTCTTCCACGTGCTCGTCGGTCTGGGTGCCGATCGCACTGACGGCCCGCGCGCTCAACGGTGCGTACGCGGCGCCACTCGGAGCCTCTGGCCAACCCTCCACACCGCGCTGGCTGTCCTCGGCCACGCCGGCGAGGCCGCCGACCGAACCGTGGCTGTCCTGTATCAACGTCGACGCCGTCCTCGGGTTGCTGAGGGGCGAGGCGCGGCAGGGCGCGAGCGGGGCCACGTCGCCCGCGCGGACGGCGGAGCGGCGGCCCGATGGCCCCAAGAGGTCCCCATCGCTGCGGGCGCGCGTGAGGCTGGGCTCCACGTCCACCGCCTCGAGGAAGCCGTTCTTGACGACCAACTTGAGTGCGGTGGCCCCGCGCCTCGTCACCGTCGGGGCGCCTGCCGCGCCGGACGTCTCTGGGGCCGCCCCGCTGAGCATCCCTGGGGCAACTCTTGCAGTATGGGTACGGCTACGGCTCTGGGGCCGTCTAGGGGCGGTCTTGGGAGCCTCTTGGGCCGCTTTGGACGCTGTGAAGACCAAAGAAGCGGATATGCTAAACATTTCCGTTTCTCGTAATAGGACGATGTTTGCCTCTTGGGGGTTCCCTTTGGAGGCCTCTTGGGGCGTTTTAAGGGCCTCTTGGGCTGTCTTGGAACCACGTTGGGCCCTCTTGGACCGTCTTCGGGCCCTCTGGGACCTCTTCGACGCCGTCTTGGAGGTATCTTGGGCGCGTTGGGGGCTGCCTTGGGCCGTCTTGGGGCCTCTTAGACTCTCTTGGGGCTGACTTGGGCCGTCTTCGGCCGAAACTTGCCGAAACTTTGGGCGATTAGAGCTGACGCCCGGGCTGCCTCCCCCCCACCCCTTGTTATTTCTCCCGGCGAACGGATCGCGACGCTGCGCGCGCTTCCCGCCATCCGCCGCCCCCTTCTGCTTGCAGAGGGGTGCTTGATGTGCTAGATCTTAGATTGGCTTGAAATGTTGTTTTAAAGGTTCTCAAGGGCCTTCGTTGAGCAGGGACCGACAGTCCCAGCAGTCCTCTGGTCCTCCCACGAAATGCGTAGAACCCAAAAATGTGTAATAACAAAAACAATGTTCTTAGAACACAAGCCCCATGTGATAAAACAAGGCTCCGCCAGAAATGTTCTAAGAACATTTCGTGGAAACCACAAAAGGTTCTTAGAACATTGTTTGATAGGCCTATAGGCGAGCCAGGACGCTTCGCCACTGCTTGAAACTTCAGCCCAATCCGCCGTCCACCCGGCGAGCCGCGTACCGACCTCAACGTGCACCACAGATCGTCCCAAGACGGCCCAAGGGGGCCGCCGCGATGCCTCCGAGACGGGCCGACACGGCCCAAGATGGCCTCCCAGACGGTCCCACGATGTCTACAAGACGGGCCGATGCCCCCAGGATGTCTCCAAGACGGGACGATCGCCCAAGACGGCCCAAGAGGCCTTCAAGACAGCCAAAGGGGCCTCCAAGAGGACCTCCAGGAAGGCCCGAAAATAACAAATTCATATAATGCTTGTTTGATCACGGCGTTTGCTCATGTTTGGCCCATGGCGGCCCCAGGGCCCACAAGATTTCCCCAAGAGCGCCCAAGAGGCCTCCGAGATGGCCCCAAGACGGCCCCAAGAGGCCCCGAAGTTGGCCCAAGACACCCCAAAGACGCCCAGATGTGTTCTCCAAGACGGCCCTGGCGCGCCCCAAGAGAGCCCCAAGTCGGCCCAGAGAGGTCCGCAGGACGGCTTCCGACGACGTCATACTGGCCAGGAGCGCCCTCAGACGGCCAAAGAGCCTCCCACGGAGCTTCCAAAGGTCCCCATGAGGCCCAGGGAAGGCCCCCAAGAGGCCTCCGAGAGGCCCCCCAGGAAGCTGCCAGGAGGCCACAAGAGTGCCCCAAGAGGCTCCCAAGAGGCTTCCTTCTCCTCCTAGTTCCTCCCTCTCCTCCTTGTTCCTATTTCTCCCCCGAAGGCTTTCCACAACGTCCGGGGGAACACTTGGTCCGATAGCTTGGCCGAACTCTGGCCGAAACGTTTGGCCACATTGACCAACAATCAGGGGGCGGCGGTGATCCGCCAGAGGCGTCTTCGGTCCGCCGCCCCCTGTGGCTTGCCCCAGGGGTGCACGGCGGTACACCTCCTCCTCCTCCGCCTCCTCCTCCTCCTCCTCCTCCTTCTACTCCCCCTCCCCCTCCCCCTCCTCCTCCTCCTCCTCCTCCTCCTCCTCCGCCTCTTCCTCCTCCTCCTCCTCCTCCTCCTCCTCCTCCTCACTCCTCCTCCTCCTCCTCCACCTCCTCCTCCATTTTGAAGGTTCAGAGATTGGGTCCCAGTCGATCACGCCAGACCACACCGAGAGGAGCACAAGGACCAGCAACTTCACAACGTGTCGCCAAAACGGCCCAGGTGGCCCAAGATGGCCCCCAAGACGATCCCACGACAACCCCAAGATGGCCCAAGACGGCCCCAATAGAGCAAGGTGGTCCCAAAATCAGACGGCCCGTGCCGTGATGGCATCAAGATGGCCCAAGACGGCACGCGAGGCCCTCAAGAGGCCTCCAAGTTGACCTCAAGGAGGCCCCACATATTGATTTTGCTTAGGTTTTTTTCCACATAGCACCCCAGTCGCGGATAAGAGTGAAAGGGGCGGCGGAGTCGTCGGCAGTCAGCGGGGCTCTGAAGAGCCCAGCCGTAGGCGACGATTCTTTTTAAAGAATACAACGGGACCGACGCAAGCGCCGATACTTTCATCAAAGCAATTTGGGTGGGTCGCGGGTGGGTCGCAGGTGGGTCGCGGGGTGGGTCGCGGGGTGGGTCGCGGGCGGGTCGCGGACGAGGACCACGACGAAAACGTACCACCAACAACAACAGCAACAACAACAACAACAGCCACAACAAGAATCGTGTGAAGACTGTTCGCTCTTGTCCGCTCGCGTGCCGTTCGACGCGTATATCCCCCAAACTCGATATTCGCCGGCTTCTTCCTCGATCGTACCCCTCCGGGGTACCTATACGACCACCCTTCGGGTGATAAGGAGGTTCGGGGGGGGGAGGAACCAACGTCTAACTCGATCGGTCTCACGATCGATATCACAATCGATCTCACTATCGGTCTCGCTCGATCGACCTCACTCGACCGATCTCACAAACGATCTCACTCGATCTATTTCATCCGATCGATCTCACAATCGATCTGATTATCGATCTCACAATGGATCTCACTATTGATCTCACTATCGATCTCACAATCGATCTCACATACGATCTCACAATCGATCTCACTATCGATATCACAATCAATCTCACAATCAACGTCATCATCATCCTCATCATCAACATCGTCATCATCGTCACCAACATCATCATCATCATCATCATCACCATCACCATCACCATCACCATCACCATCACCATCACCATCACCATCACCATCACCATCACCATCACCATCATCATCATCATCATCATCATCATCATCATCATCATCATCATCATCATCATCATCATCATCGGGACATCATGCGCCCCAAGATGGAGTGCAACTCCCGGTCCGTCCCGGGAATCTCGGGCAGGCGGAGCCAGCAACCTGGAGTTCTGGGAAGCGGGTGGTGCGTCTCCCCCAAACGTTGTCCACTGCGACAGGCAGTCGACCCATGGAGGGGGCAGAAGGGGCGCGGGCACACACCGTAGCGCGCGCAAGTCCGGCGCGGGGTCGCTTTCAGGGCGGCCGCGCACCGCGTGTGGGCAGTGGGAACTTGCACCTGTCGCCTTGCTTCTCCCACGTCGCCGGGCGCCCCGGCGCCCCAAGTTGCAGGCAGCAGGCCTGATCGGAATTTTCAAGAGTGGCTGGAGTAAGAGGGGCTCCGCGTATATAATCCCCCCAGTCCCATCATCGTCACCATCATCATCAACACCATCATCATCGGGACACCATCATCATCATCCTCGGCACACCACCATCATCATCATCATCATCATCATCATCATCATCATCATCATCATCATCATCATCATCATCATCATCATCATCATCTCATCATCATCATTAGCAACATTATCAACATCATCATTATCGGGACATCGACATACTCATCATTAACATCATCACCACCACAATCATCCTCATCATCGGGTCACCATTATCAGCGTCACCATCATCATCAGCATCACCATCAACATCATCATCATCATCATCATCATCGGGACACCATCGTCATCATCAACATCAGCATCATCATCACCATCATCGGGCTACCATCATCAAAGTCATCATCACCTCATCATCATCCTCATCATCAACATCATCATCATCATCGGGACACCATCATCGTCATCATCATCAACCTCATCATCGTCATCATCGGCACACCATCACCATCATCGCCATCATCATCTCATCACATCATCATCAGGATCATCACAATCATCATCATCATCATCATCATCATCATCATCATCGGAACACCACCATCATCAGCAACATCATCATCATCATCAACATCATCATCACCATCGGGACACCATCATCCTGACCACCTCATCACCATCATCATCATCAACATCGTCAACATTATCATCATCATCATTATCATCATCATCATCATCATCATCATCATCATCATCATCATCATCGGGACACCATCATCATCACTACCATCACCATCATCATCATCATAATCATCATCATCATCATCATCGACATCATCATCGTCATCATCACCATCACCACCACCATCATCATCAACATCAGCATCATCATCATCATCATCATCATCATCGGGACACCATCATCATCACTACCATCACCATCATCATCATAATCATCATCATCATCATCATCGACATCATCATCGTCATCATCATCACCACCACCATCATCATCATCATCATCATCATCATCATCATCATCATCATCATCATCATCATCATCATCATCGGGACACCGACGGGACACCGGCGGGACACCGGCGGGACACCGCGGGCCACCGGACGCTGGTCCGGAATGATTTGGTCCGGCCGCGCCTCAGCCGGAGGCGGGACACCGGCGGGACACCAGGGGCCACCAGACGCCAGTCTGGAACCATGAGGTCCGGCCGCGCCTCAGCCGGAGGCGGGACTCCGGCGGGACACCGCGGGCCACTGGACGCCGGTCCGGAATCATTTGGTCCGGCCGCGCCTCAGCTACAGGAGACTTTCTTCTCGCCCGCCCATGCAGCTTCGCCTCGCCCGCACGCACGGCACGCACGAACACGAAACCGAAATCGATTCCTGGTAGGGGGGCTCTCCGTTCCACTTCGATCTCACCCCCGCACCTCCGATATATAGTCCTTACCTGCCACGCGAAGTTGGCGCATCCGCAACAGGGAAAGGAAGGGAGGAG